GGCTGCGGTTGAGGGCTTTCTATGAAGTATCTCTGCCATTTGAGAGAGAGAGGGATAAAATAACCATCCGCTACAAGAGCATATATCTAGTATCCCATCACATATTTCTGGAGACCTGCCAAATTCGGGTATTGGGTTCGAAAAAGGAATTGGCTCCGAAACGGAACTAAAGAAGATTTGCCATGATGCTATCATAAAAAAAATAGAGTCCAGGTCTCGGGCATGGGGCGCATACTCGGTGCATCCGCCCATACAGATCGTGTCCGATGATACCATCTATTGGACATTACTGTATGGTAGAAGCTCAAACGGTCGACCCGAGTGGGGTGTCATTTCAGCTTCCTCTTGTGGTCGCGTTTGCCCTTTACGTTGGGCGCGAAATTTCTTTAGACTATGATAATAATATTATTATGATGATGATACTAGCGGCGATTTTAGGTGGCCTCAGCTTGAGCGAACAGTTTTCGACAGGTCAGCCACCATGGACAACCAAAGTGAATTGGTGTCAAGATCCATTCCACCACTATCCGTACCGCTAGAAGTATTTAGTTTGGGCGGGACAAGACTCCTCTCTTGCCGCCCAGCATGCACAAGAATAAGAAACATCACCTCTTAATTCAGGAGAAGAGGAAATATATACGTGGCTTAACCCAAGAACCATTAGCCTCTTATCTAGCCTATAGTTATGTACTGTACTAGTTACAGTACTATATTATCTTATACCGTATCAATCCTTCTCTATAATATATATATCCCTCCGGATGTGATAATTTAAATGTGCCCAGAGATTCCTCCCTCTTGCTTTTCTCGACAGATATGATGCTATACATTACTGCGAAGCACCAAAAGAGAAAATATAAGAAATGCTTCCGTCACTGATCCATGTTGGTTACTAGCCTAATTTCATTGAAGACTAAGCTGGGTTGGGATCCAATGTCGTTTAGCCCCTCACCCGGATTGGCTATATTGGGCTTAGTGTGGGAGAGGTAGATTTTCTAACCTAAAGGTGGTGTAGAACCAGCTACGCCACGAAACCACATACTTGAGCACTGCACTTGCAGTGATCCCAGGTCAATAGAAAATGCGGATTTATTTATCTGAGCTCTGCATGACATAATCCCGTTAGAATGAGGGGAGAAAATCAGTTTACGGCTCTCAAGTAGCTATTGGCACAGTGTGAAATGTGTGAACGTGACATGAATTGTGCCTGGGCTTTGATCTCCCACATATGTATCGCCACATGGATAGAGGAGACAATGCTAGTGCGCGCCCAAGGCAAGGAACCTTATTCAACCCCCTCTACGCCACAGTGCATGTATGCAGTCTTCCAGTAACAACATAGGAAATAGGAAACGACAGCATGAAAAACTCCCTCTGTCAATTGCCAGATTGCAGAAAAAAAACTGCTTCCGATCTTAACGAGTGGTGCTATCGCAGAAAGAAACCGGAGGGTCGAAAATTACGGCCAACGAAAACAAGAACCACTCCACATTGTGATGCGATCGCCACCCAACACAATCTCACAAGTCGGGCATCACGAAAGGAACTTGTTGTCTGGGGTTTAAGTGTGAACGTTTCCTACGCCTGTCCAGGATATTTTTCATCCTCTATTCTTGGCGCCGCTGGCGGTTCATAAAATACTCTTCCAACAGCTTGGCCTGATGAACCTTGGATAGAACTTTATTCTGCTGGTGGGGCGAATCGAGGGCAAGATACCTTGACAAATAGTCCAGGTCGGATTCAGGAATAATACAGGATTCATCATCAACTTGGCTCCGACCCCCGGTACAGCTCAGGCATGAGTCAAGGTATTGGGGGATGGTTGGTATAAAAGCGGGGAAGGCGACTGGCTCGGCTCCCACGAATTTGATGGTTTTATCGGTAATATGATAGGGCTTAACTCGGCGATCTGTGGGGTTCGGGTGAAATTCGGACTCCACCAACCCAGCATTCCAGCTAATGGGATGTGGCACTCGGACTTTCTCGGTGTCGACCAGCAGCTTGTAGGTGTTCTCGGTGCAAAGAGAAATATACCAGTGATCATCCAGCCTCTTGAATCGGCCAACGGAGCGTTGCTCCTCACGTTCTGCCGTTGAAACTAGCCCTGGAATACTTGCATCGGCTTTCTTTATGCTTTATGCCTCCTCGGGCGATCAAGGCTTCTGCGAGGTTGTGGGTGAAGATGGCGCAGGGTGTGATGGTTGGTTTTTAGTGTTTGGGAGTGTACTCCGGTGGAATCGGTCTTGTACCGCTCCTAATGGGGTACTTTTGCTTGACCTGTGTGGCCGTTTATTTGTTTTCTGTTTTTGGAATTGTTAGCTTCTCTTTTCATGAGTACTTGTGGCAGGCAAGAAGTATTCGGAAACAGGGGTGATCCTAGAGTCGGAATTTTGTATGGCAAAACATCTGTGCGCGCCACAATCCGCCACTCGTATCTCCGAATACTTATTGCCTGGGACAAGTAGTTCGGATAGTGTTGGGGAGCACTGGGTTGTTTTTTGTATGAGTGAAGATGTGCTCCTAAGGAGTAAAGTGGATCAGTTGCAGAGTTGATGCCTACTTATCCACAGCAACCAGCCTTTAACCGCCGCCAACCAATGTTGACATTGAAGGGATGATAGCAAAATCAAAGTCCGAGGAGCCTAGCTCGATGGCCATGGGGTGGCGGAGCTCATTTGCTTGCAACGGCTGCTCCATATGAGGGAGCCGTATCAATGCTACCATCCCGAGTCCCGACCCGTCCTCATCCTGTACCTTTTTCCGCTCTATCGTCGCACCAAAGGCATCTCCCAACCCGACACCAGCTGTGCTCCTGTCCAACTTCTCCCATCTTGTAAGATTGTCTGCCTCCAGACTCTCTGATGGTGCACTTCCAGCTGCGGAAGATGGAGTGAGAGCGTACGGAGGGAGGGGAATACATATCCACTCTTGTAAATACCACTCCCTCAGGTTCACAAAAAGCGGGATACTAGAGCATTGTTAGGCCCAAATGATTCAGCTGGCTAGGGTTCACCGTGGAAAAAATAGTCTAATTCATAGAGGCGGCAGGCAGACAAATAAGATACACGAAAAAAGAAGTTGCAAGGTCTCACATAGGTATTGTCTTTTAAACGTGCCCCGTATCCACAGCCACTCCCCCGCAATTCTACCACACAGGGCAAGGAGCAAACCGAAGAGTAAACTTCAATCAAGAAACAATCTCATTCCCTTCCTGCAATAATCAGGCCATGTGTATACAAATATACCGGAACAACACAGCTACCAAGCCCAGGCCTGCTTCTTTTGTTTGTGCTTTTGGGGGGCTTCCGGCTGCTCGCAGGGGGCTTCCGGCTGCTTGGGGGAGGTTCCTTTTTCCTTCGTGAAAAGGGTTGGAAATCGAAGTTGGACGTAGTCTTTCAAAGTCCATAAGACCAACTATACCTGTTAGATTAACCAGATACAGTAGCTGAATGAGAAACTAACCGATGATGATGCGACAAATAAGAAGTGGACTTGCCACTTGGTAACTTTCTGGTCGGATTTAACATCCGCAAATTCCTTGCGCATCTCGGACTTCACCTGGTGTATCTCGGACTGCATCTCGGACTTCGCCTGGTGTATCTCGGACTTCACCTGGTGTATCTCGGACTGCATTGCGGACTGCAGATTGTTTATCGCTTGTCCTAGTTCACGTCCTAGGTTTCCGATCGCTTTAGTCACATCGACCTTAAATTCTCCGTGATCCTGCCATCATTGTCTCAGTTAGTTGTTACTAGATATTTGTAAATGTAATCCGTACCTTAATAGCACCATCAATTTTAACATCCAACCTATTCATTCTGTCCCACTATACCATGGTTTGTTAGCTGAAGTTTGGACAACCTGTTTGAGGTAGAGAGACTTACCCAGAGATAAGACTGACTACCACCCCCATTGGGTCCCACCTTTGGTTCGACACTCTCCGGGGCTGTGTGGTTAGGTTTGTTATCGTGTTCTGTGTCATCGGGGATGAATTCATTGCCGAATTTTCTGAACCCAATCCGTTGAACAAGGGTAGGGGAGGTGATTCTTGCTTGACAGATGAGTCGGAGCATGGTGCTTTGTTGTGTCAACTGCTTTTCTTTTGTGGGTGATTAGGGTAAGTGGATGGTTTGATTGAAGATGCGTACCCTCTAAATTTATATCCAAGCCCTGCCCTTCGTATCCAAGGTTAGGGTTTTTAGGGGATGCAACCACTGCCAAGCCCAGCACAATTCGATCCTATGGAGATATTTGTACGGTGGTTAGAGTGTTGTGGGGGGTTTTATTTGGTTGATGTTGTTGTGTGGTGGATGAGTCATTGCTTATGTAATGTGTGGTGGAAAAGGAAATTTTTTTTTTTGGCGGGTGATCAGATTAGATCCACTAGTTTGAGATTAGATCCGCTAGTTTTCGCAGATTAGATCGCATTCAGAGATAGAAACGCAGTACATAGTGATGATAAAAGCATTAGTACTTTTTAGATAGGCGCGCAGTACATATTAGAAATTTCGCATTTTGGCTTGGCATCTTGGCAGGTTTGATGCAACATGTAGTTGTGATGGTAAATGCCACCGGGGTATATCAGAGCACAGCCTGCCTGATATCAGATCGGAAACTTTGATGAGATATCACTCCTTGGTGCAACTGCTCAGTACATATTAGATAGATCTAATATGTACTGAGCAGTCTAGATCGAGGGGATGTTAGTCAGATTGTACTAAGCGGCCGATTTAAGGCGGAGAACTACCGTACTGGAAAACTGAACGGTCGCACCGTTGCCTGAGCCAAACAGGCCCAAATCCTGCTCCATGTGTACCAGTAAATTTAGGAACGCCAAGTTTCAATTAGATCACTCGAACTACCCTACTGTTGTGTGTGGGGGGGTCTGGGGCATCGGAAATTTGCTCCGATGCATAATCCACCAATCATCGCTGATATCTATGACGCACTCCGAAATCTCTGCTCTGCAGCAGTTACCGTGCAGTACGGTCCAAATTGAGTTCATGATAGAATTGCTCATCTCGATTTATTTGCTACTAGTACTCAAAAGTAGGGGATGGGGGGAAAGAAAAAGGAAATAATATGTATGTAAGTCATGGCAATGACCGATGACAAACAAATGGGAAAGGGAAAAAAAAAAAATGATATAACGCCGTTCTCCGCCCATGAAGAGAAACTGATGAAATGAACTCGTTTTTCACAGTAAAGAAACATACCGATGCCCAAAAATCACGGGAATTATAGACAGTAATGATGAAAAAGAAACCACCAACATCTTCATTGCTTGTTATCCGGCTAGATGGCCCATTGTAACCCGACTTCGTGGAGGGCATCGACAAGGGCTTCTCCATTCTTCTTTTGCTCTTGTTGGAGCAGGTATTCGGCGTACTTGGAGCGGTGGTTGTGAATACCGCACTCGGTCTTGTTGGTGCCCTTCCATCTACCGGACCGCTCGTCTTCGCCCTCCGCAATAGGACTGCGATAAATTGTCAGTAATCAAAAAAAAAAACCAAGGGAGGTCGAAGGGGGAGGGGGACAAACCTGGTGCTATGCCAGTCCCCGATGCTCTTGTATCCCATATCCAAAAGGGAGTTGTAAGGAACGTTGTACTTGGTGACGTACTCCCGAACCTGCTTGAACGTCCAGTTCGCTAAAGGGTTGACCTTAATGAGCCCTGCATCATCCAGCCCGATAATATCCAAATCTCCCCTCTTTCCGCCCTGACTCTTTCTACGACCGGTGAGGACAGCCTTCACATTGAGTTCTGCGTAAGCCCTCTGTGCGGGCTCAACCTTGGCAAGATAGTCGTAGAGATTGTCGTTGGTGTCCCATAGATTATCCCCGTGGATACATTCAAAGTCTCGTGCATTGGCACATCCGCTCGGCTTGTAGATGTGTAGTTTCGAGTTTGGGTAACGCTCACGGACTCTGTCGACAAGTTCGAGGGTTTCATCGAAATGGTAGAGGGTATCGAGGAAGATAAGATCAATCTGACGGGGCGCCCCAGCATTGATACGGGATAGCATATCAAGTGTCACGAGACCGGTAAGGCCAAAGGCTGTAGTCTGGAATAGATTTGGGAGAGAAATCATGCACCATTTGAGGATTTCTGTAATGCATGTTAGACAAGTGTAATACCCGAGACCTAAAGTTCATAATGGAAAAAGTACGTACCTTCCGGCTCGAGAGTCTGCAATTGCTGGTTTAAATACTTCAAGTGAGGACTTGAGAAATAAACATCAGGCATGCTGGGGGTAGCTGAGCCAGGGGAATCATAACCCGACTCTTCATCCTGTGACATGGATCGCTCAGGGATGGGTCGTTGAGGGTATTCAGTTGGAGTTACTGTCATGATGTCTGGTTTTGTGTAGGGATTGTTGGTTCTTTCTGGGTACGATCCGCCGGATCGGGTGAAAGGTGAAGATAAAAAGGTCAAAGTCCTTTGGATGTTTATGCGAAAGAGATGCACTATTATGCCTTCCTATAGTATCCGTTGAGGGATGGAGGCTTGATTGGTATAGTTGAATTGAGAGAGTGCCGAAGCTTGGATGGAGTCAGAATGCAAAATCAAACAACGGGGAGGGGAGAGAAGAGTAAAAGTACAGATGCCATCGCTTCTCCGCTTCTTTCATCATCCTTCTTTGCGGAATCTATTTCAATAGAGACTGCAGGGCCGATGGTTGAATCTTGAGTTGAAATTGCGTGCTCAAGATAGCAGGGTGTGAAAAAAGCAATACTAGTCCTAATCGGGTCTTGGCATATATACGGGTGGTGTAGGATTAGACGTTGCCAGAAGAGTGCAAACTTTAGAAATCAGTCCCTGACAAAGTGTTGTTGTAGTGACAAAGGAGGGATGAGACCCCTGTGATGGAATATCAACTAATGGGATCCATGATATCGGCGAAGATTCAGTGGCCCATCAAGCGCCTGTGCGTGGCAAAAACGTCGGTTTAACTCCGGGTTAAAATTCCTAGTAATTAAAAAGTAAGGTACCATGCCTCGGGACCTAGGAGGGGCCAAGTTCCTGCGTGTAGAGTACTCGCCCTAGGCAATAAGTACTAGGAGACAGGGGTCGTGGATTTGCATGGGCGCTGAGATACACACGGATTTTTTGCCATATATGCGTCAGACTATAAATAGTGGTACTGTAGGGTGCTTGATTGAAGTTTCGGTATCAGTGGCACACCCGAGAGACATTACCCTGGATGGTTCTCTATTTCCCATTGCCTCGGTTAACTTCTAAGGGATATAATTGATGGGTGAGGGATGGGTGAGGAGTAGACTCAAATTTAATCCATCTATCAAAAGAAGACTGCTTTCTATGCTCTTGTTGAGAAATGGAATATTTATGCTCCCGGGCAGGTTGGATTCCCCGGACCACTGATTTTGACCGGAATTAACATCAATACCCGGCTCCGTACCACTTTTTCTTGGATGGCCCTTGTATATTGCCTAGGACAGGCAACCCCGAAGAAGGCTGCGGGATTTATCAGCATCAACCTGCAATGCTTTCCGAATACCCTAGGACACCTCTCCCCGCCCCTCTGCTACCAGATCGCATTTCCTAACAGCATTATATCATAATAAACCCTACATGTCCTCTCTTCGCTGCAAAATGAGATTTCTCATCCACTCAAGCTATTATTCTGAGTTGAATATACAGCGATACTTACCGATTGGGCTGACCCATCACCGATCTTCCACGGGTTTCTTCCGGCTCTCAGTTCTCTCCACCCGGACTGCAAGGCTACTCTTATCGCCAGGGAGCGATGCTAATCACGCCATGAGCACTTGTCAGGAAAGAGTCGGTAGGGGCACGTGACTCTTATTAGGATCATGATGATCGAATGTTTTCTGGGTGAGCTGGCTTACCAGAGTTGTTCCCAGTTGGCCGGCCGATGATATTCCTGAGAAATTGTATCCTTCGTGTAACGGTAGGCATGGAGTGAAAAGAGAAGGGTTAGGAGCATTCAAGCCACTCCTGGGGAGAAACCTGGCGAGTGATACATGATGAAGCACTACCATTTTGAGCAACCACCACTCTAGAAAGCAATCAAGTAGCGCCTTCCCACAGGGTGAGCACTACAGAGTGCAGATCCAAATTAACGTGGTCCTGAAAATCCCAAATAATCGTGACCGACCTTTTAAGCTGGAGGGCAGGGCCAGTGGAGACTAGTCCGGTAGGGCCGTAAATTTGGCTTCAACAAATCGAGTTTGTCATCAAAGCATTCCTACATCATATATTCCCTTGCTCCACTATCAATTAAGCGTTTGTCGAAGACAGATGGAGGTAGACTCCCCGAATTGCCTCCTCTCGTAGAGAAAACCCGTCGCAAAGTTAAGGTACCCTTCTATCCATCTCGGGGAAGCAAAGGTCTTATTAGTAACCCAGAACTTGAGGTCATATTTACCAATCGATACTCGTTTTGAACACGCCCAAACCTCGCCCTCTCATCCCGTACGGGAGGAAAATTTTGTGGAAAGGAATAGAAAAAAACAAAAAAAAACAAAAAAAAATACTCGATGGCGTGATTTACGCGGTCGATCGCGTGATAAGGGGTTTTTTTCGATAGTGGGGGCAAGAGAGTATCCGTCGTTATTCCCACGGCATTGGCGGATGCGGGATTCCTTTCGGACGCACGGAGGGCCTATCGTGGATGTCAAGTGCGGGGAAAACCGAGTAAGCGTGTTCGTACGCTAGATGGAAAGGTACATTTGGTATCTCGCGGCTCGGGGGCCTGGATATGAGGAGTGAAGGAGCATGAACTCGCATCAGAAGTGGGGGTGTGCTGGGATAGCATACCTTGATAAGGGGATGTACTGTACAATAACCTCGGGGGTTGGAATCTTGGTCACATGTTGAGCTTATTTTTGTTGAATGTTTGCTATCATAGCTGCATTGTTTGAATGAGGGCGTATAAAAAGGTATGGGTAGTAGGCCCGGTGCCCTGAAATGATCGAAAATATCTCTCAGCAACTTTGTATCATAGAGGCATTGTATATACAAGCATCCGAGCCCTTTATTAATTTGTGCCAAGCAATGACCACTTCATTTCCCTTTCGTGTGTCTGATTCTCTCCAACTCCAGGACGTTCCTTTCCCACTCCTCCATGCTGCCATCTGGTTCTAAGGTTTTGTCTGCTCCAAGCCTGAACCACCCACCCCCGCTTGACGCTGCATGAATCTTCTTATCCTTCATGAGCTCCAACATGTTGGCCACATTCCTTCCAGTCACAATCGCACATTCTTTACAGGCCCCTCTCAACCCTGCTAGTGCCCTGCTCTTTCTGTAAGACTCCTTAGTCCAGGCAAGACCTTGTTGCTGATCACCCATAGCAAACAGCAACTCTCCGATATATGCCATGGTAACAGCTTCGGCACAAGGATCTGATATCTCCTTCGAAGACTCAGATTTTGCGGGGTTCTCCACCGGTGAGGCAGTACGACGTGCTTGCAATATGGTGGTCAGCAACTCTAGTGCAAGATGCTGGCGGTCATTACGGGCGTGTAATATAGAGAGCTCGGTGATTGCTTTTAACAGCAACGGCGTATTCTCTTTTGAGGATGGGTCAGGAAGCGGGGGTAACCCGTTCGAGGTTCGGTTTACGTCATTGGAGTCTGTGGGGGCGGCGCTTGCGAAGGAAACGGCATCCATTAATGCTGCCTGGGCGCCAGGTAGATCATTCTTGGATTCGCAGATCTTGGAGACCCGTAACGCTGCAGTGACTCTTTCTTCGCGCCACAACGATTCCTCAGATTCGTTCTCTCGGGGCAATTGTAGTATTTGTTGGTAGTGTGCTTTAGCATCGTCTATCATACGTTCACGCTGCTCCAACTCAGCGAGATAGCTCAGGCTCATTATGTAACCCTTCCTCCAGCCTTTCTTCTGCCTTGCCCATCCTTCCTCTCCCAACTCCAAGACGACTCCCCTCATAATTTCGATGGCCCCTTCGTAGTTTTCTGTCCATTTTATCAATGCTCTGGATAGATCCAGGTTGTATCGAGCCATAAGAGGCATATCTTTGGGCGTAGGATGGAGGGTTTCGACATAGATCAATGCTCCGACAAAGGACAGGCCAAATGCAACAGCAATCAAGCTGTATCCGTAGGCAATCACCCTTAATAAGATCAAACCTTCGCGGTGTAGGTAAGCTTTCGCGCTAGCCGAGATGTGACGTCGGAAGACATTGTGAAAGTGGGGTTCGGTGGAGGTAATACTCGAAGTAGGCCGTGTGCACAAGGCTAAAGGGCGGGGTGAGTTATAGGTTCTGAGGTGGCGGAACGAGGATAGGGGTGAGAATCGTAGGCTGGGAAGACGGTAGGGTATGGACGGTGGTGGGCGCAACTCTAGCCGGGGAATCCTTTTAAAGGCCATAGAGAGAGATAACCATCCAGTTGGGGATACTCGGGATATAGCTATCGAGAAATTGAGATGATGCCGTTACGATAGCTTTCTTGCCCAGAAATGGAAGCATCAGAGTGGGGTTGAGGAACTAGTGGGAGCTCTCGATGTCGAACGAGGTTGTGATTGTCAACCTTCGATCTAATCTTATCTTTGACTTCTGGTCGAATCTAAGCGCCCCTATCGTACCGTACCGTATTACCACACAATTATATTCCCTGTACTTAGGACCCAGAACACTTGCATCAACAAACCTGCACAGTGCTCAGAGGAAGGCTTTCATAAGCTATTCGAGTATGTTCAACACCTCCCAGACCCTATCGACCACAGATGTCTATTATTCGACGACCCCAATTGATCTCAAAGCACCATACAATGTAACCACCGCTGGCCGGAAAACCATTCTGATTACCGGAGGAGCTCGTGGCTTGGGTGAAGGAATGTTGAGGAAGTTTGCGAAACTCGGGTGAAATTTTTTGGGGTCCCAGCCGCTCCTATGTGAGAAGCTAATAGCAGACCAGTGCTACCGTGATAGTCGGCGACCTTAACGAGTCCCGCGGGGAGTCGGTTATTGCAAAAGTCCGGAAGAGCTCGGACAACGAAAAGTACGTTTGTTTTCCACACATGACACCTGTTTTCTTGCGTGTGCACAAAAGCCTCACGTGCGGAATCTGAAACTTGGCCTGCTGAGGAAATAATAACTCTCTGACACACTTTTGAGGTTCTTGCTCTCGGAATAGTGTGCATTTCTTACCTCTCGATGTCACATCCTACACCTCACAGTGTGAATTCTTCCGTAGTGCCCGGGAACTTTCCCCGACGAAAAAGATCACAACTGTAATCGCCAATGCAGGTGTCGCTGAACTGGGTTCTTTCATCGAATCTTCTCCGACAAAAATCCCTCTCGACGTTGACCCCCCAGAACCAGACATGACAACCGTGGACGTGAACTTTAAAGGGGTTTTATACACAACAAAGCTTGCGCTTCATCATCTGCGGTCGTCTCCTGTTGGTCAGAGGGAACTCATCCTTGTCGGATCAATGTCGAGCTTCACCAGCGGACCAATGATGGCAGTTTATTCTGCTACCAAGCATGGAGTTTTGGGGCTGTTCCGGTCGATAAGATTGTTTCCTAGTAAACGTGACGGAGTCCGGATCAATATGATATGCCCATACTTTGTGGACACTCCAATAGTTCCCATCGGGGGTAAGGTGATGTTGGCAGGGTTGGAGATAGCAGTATTAGATGATGTAGTTGATGCTGTCTCAAGATTGGTTTGCGATGAGGGGATTGCGGGAAGATGCCTCGCCATCGCCCCTCGCCAAGCAGGAGGTGTTATGGAGGTCGGAGTTCAAGAGATGGAAAATGTGGACGCGTTCTGCAAAAGAGTCGTTATAGCCATGAATATGCGGAGCAAGATGGAGATCTTCACAAAGTTTCTTGTGGACATCCTGTGGCTTCTGGTTGTAGGGCCTATACTCAGACTCGTCAAGGAGTAGGGAGGGGAGCATTGTTGATGATTTGCCTTTTTTCTAGTTAACGGTCCGACTGTTTTCACGTATGCTCCCTCTTTTACACGGAATATACGATTCTAATGTTGGATTGAGCATCGCATTTGTCCGGCATAGTGGGAGCGATCGATACCAAGTTGCATTTGGGTGAGACCATACGATTACAGCTCAGGCAACGGCGGCGGTTGTTTTTCATGTTTTTCATTTTTTTCTTCTGTCATAAATTTTAAAGGACGAGCTTTAAAGCTCAGCGTACCCTCATTATCTTAATAAAAGCGTCTCAAGGATTGATCCCCTATGAGATTTGCCAATTTGTGGACCTGTTTATCCATACGCTGTCCAACCGGTAAAGTTTTCCGTCGAATGTGGGGGGAGGAATCAGAAGGTGGATTGATATGTATGAGTACTCTACCAGTATCTTGGCGATTATTTATACGTGTTGTTGGCAAAGTGCTTAATCTCCTTGTTTTAACCTCTGATTTATTAACAGCGCCAATAGCTCAGTTGGGAGAGCGTCAGACTGAAGTTCCACTTCAGTTTATCAAAAACCTGGGGTAATCTGAAGGTCACCCGTTCAATCCGGGTTTGGCGCATTTTTTTGATCTTGGCCCACATGTGAAATCACTGTGGGGGATTAGGTTAAGCGTGCTTTTCATTCAATTCCGTTTGTGTATGATATCACGGTTGTGGATAACGTTTCTGGTAAAGTGTGAGACCATTCCTTGCCCTTATTACTATGACCTTTTGTTCCCACTTTTGTACGAGTAAGATAGGATCCTTGGGGTATCTGAAACAGTCAAATTCGTAGCCTACACACTAAACTAAGAAGGGTTGCTTGGCGCTTATAAATCGGCTGAGTGATATCAAATGTTCACAGGCGGGCTTTACCGGCCAAATATTACACAAACGATGAGAAAAGAGAGCGCACCTCAACAGGCTCGCACAACAGCACTGATCTGAATAAGAAGCAAGAGTCTATGATACAGGAAGGCCAGCATGCCTTGTATTGTAGCAGTCCATACAAAAGGAAAAACAGCAACCCAGTCCTTCACATCCATAACGAGTCAAAGGCACTCGCTCTCCCTTTCTCTTCATATTACGCAATATAAATCTGCACTGTACACAACTAACCTTTAAGTCACCAATTATAGTAAACTGGTATTGAGCTTGAGTGCCAGCCGGAAGGGGAAGCTTAGTTCTCTGCTGTTATTTGCTGTAGCGTAGGGAAGTAGTCATGTATACATAGAAGGATTTACATGGTTTATTGTGCTTTTGGCATAGAGTTTAAACAGTGATTCAGTAGGCAAAAGACAGAAAGTACGAGAAGTGACATGATACTGATAGGAAGGAGAAAGTCGGTAGGTAAGGAGGTAGGAGTTATTGACAGTGGTATCCAGTAACCAATAATATATTGGAAGCCAGTTCTAGAGACATTTCACTAAGTGAAGCAGTAGCTTCGGTCCTGGTCACCAATATCTACTCTAACCACATACTGATTGTAATCATTAATGATTACAGGAATCAGTACTCATATGTTCTCAGGTACACCAAATGCTCAGTGGATCACTGGCCCATTACAGCTCATAAGATGAGACTTTTTTCTTTCAGTAACAACTTGATTTATAAGATTATAAATTGTTGTAAGAAAATAAACTGCTGGATTATCCTGCCATTGTACTCCAAGAATCTTGACAGTGGCACTTGTAGAGCTACCTGAAACCTCATTCCAAAGAATAGTAGAACAGAAATCATGTAGTTCTGGTGGAAATGCCTTGGAATTAACTTTGGCGGTACCACAACTACTTAAACCTCCATAGTACAGCTGTTCTAATAATGTAACCAAAGGGAAATAGTTATCAATGTATATATTAAAGTGTAAAGGAGAGAAAGAAGGTAAAGTGGCAGCCAGCTGAAAAACAGCAAAACCAGTAGGTATAAGATCAGGCTGTGGAACAAGGTTGACAAACGAATCTGAACACAAGGCAAAAATCCAATTGTATGTATAGCCAATATCTTATAAGGCAAAAACCCTATATCTCATTCTTATTAGTTTACTAGGCATAAAGTAAGTATAGTGGCTTCACTCTCTAAACTGTATCACTATCTCTTCTACCATTACATTTAAAGAAGGTAAATAATACTGCTGGTAGCAATCATGAATAGACAGTTTAGCAATTTCAACTTCTGAAACTATTCAGACCTTGTCAACTGGAGTTTCAGATCTGATATATTGTTAGGAACACTGGGATCTAATACCTAGGAACTACCTGAAGTAGAGTAACCGCACTCAGAATTGGAATCTCTGGTCTCCAATACCCCCCTCTAGTCCCCTTATGGGGCACACACATTATTATACATACTTATCTCCATTGTGTCCTGTGACTATAAGGCTACAGATCTTAAGGTGTAAGAATAACACCATATACATTGGAATTGTGCATCCGACTAGATCCTGTTTGCAGGGTATATGATAGGGTACTTTCGGCTGAGTCTGGGAATTGTAACAGTATAAATCAGGCAACTACTCAGAGAGTATAACGATTCCTCCTTGGATGGTTAGTTCTTGGCGATGGGGAACAATACTTCTCTTCTCCTTCCTCTTTCTTTGTCTTACGATAGCTCTAGGCCTCTACCTACGTTACTGATAATACAAGACCTCTGTCTTCTATCGGGAACGCCTATCATAAGCTTTCTCTAACTCTTCTTCATGAAGAGCTTTCCTTGGCGTAACAATAATATTGCAATAAAGATAAAGATTGTAAAAGTGTTTTATATTCGTTAAAGTAATAAGTAGGAAAAGTAGTTAGGATTCAATTAAACTCGTACCACCAATACTGGCATACGACGAGCTCCCGCCGGCACGGGGATACCGCTAACCGGTATACCACTAATCCTAAGCTAACTAAGTCTACAGTCCTGCACCTGCCATTCCCGAGTCATGCCCGCACAGAAACTAATTACAAGACCATCAAACAACCCAGCGCCCGCTCCAGTCCAAGTCCTTAGCCCCTCTGGTATGAAGCCAACCAGTACTAAGTGTAGCTGAAGCTGAGCAAAAGATCAACCCAATCAGGTTCCTCGTCCAAAAATATAAAATCACTACCTCACAGTCTAAATACCATCCCGCGATACCTTTTCCACAGTAAAAAACCCACAAAACTAAAACAAATATAAACTACAGGTGACACAATGGCAGAGAGGAGGTGACCAACATGTCCACCTCTCGCATCCGCATGCCAGGCCGTCGACCCTATGAACCCACTTTGCCAAGTGCCTCTGAAGAGCATAATGGTGAGGAGGACCTGTGCCCGCTGCCTGTCCCTCAAAACAAACTCATAAATATAGGAAATACATAGAGGTGGTGACAGACCTAAACAGTCAGTGGGGCCTATCTCCTACCCATGGTGCCTTGCCCCCACCAGCCATGCCCATTGCCAAACCAAAGAAATCAAACAAACCCCACAAAACCCAGCACACAAGACCCAAACAAGTCCAACCAGGTGGTCGCAACCCACTATCCGCACATGTGGCCATCAACCATCAGGGTTGTTGAGGAGCTTTACAGCACTCAGCAGCTTTACCCAACAGCCCAATCAGGCCGGAAACACTTAGTTAGACATCGCCCAACCTGATGCATGCCCGACCAGTACTCACAGGTGCCTTTCCCCTCCCAATCAGCCCCCCTCAAGCCCCACACACTAGGCGTCACAGAGCCCATCCAGCCCCCTCAGCCCCTCAGACAGATCAACCATCCGATAGCCACAGGACAGCTATACCTAACCCCATCAGGTAGCCACTGGTTTTGGCCACACCAATAGAGCCACAACCCTCAACTCTACATAGCCGAGGAGAGCCCACCAGCCAAAGCCGGGAGCCACAGAGGAGGCAGCACCAATACCCAAAGGTACCAGCACCAGCCACACCATCCAACCCAGCTAAACCAAAGTCCAACCAAGTTGGGAAAGAGTAAGCAGAGCCAGCCAAAGTCAGCCCTACAGGTCCGGCAACAGGCACGGATCGAACAATGGGCAAGGGACATTCCCAACTGACATGTCAAGAAGAGAGAAGGCGAGTGAACAGAAGCAGACAAACAGAAGGTAGACACCAATTGCAATGGGTGAAGCCGCCAACCACATACCACAACCGAACCACCCAAACGCACAAACAACATGAGTGTCTGGCAGCCAATTATCCCACATCACCCCAGGTGACAACAATAACCACACCAGGGGGTAAGAGTTTTCAGGGTCAAAGCCATCCCCACAGATGCAAGGAGGAGACGCCTGATGGAATCACCGTAAATGCTGCAAGAACAAAAACTCCATGGGAACGGCGATAAACAACATTGTAAGATTCCGACCATAGAAATGAAAACATAACGAAGAGGGGCTGGGCGGGTACCACCCTGCCACCTGAGGAATAATGCGGCCGGTACAATGAGTTGATACTTGGGAAGGCCATCAATCTAACCTAAGGGTGTTTTGTATCGCGAGAACTAAGGACTCCGTTAAAACCCAACAAAAGACATGAGCTGGCCCAAAGAACGACACGGGTGATCCCCCCAAATACAATGTTCAATCCTCGGAATCGAACGTGAAACCTGGGAGTAGATGATAGACAGGAAGCCGTAGACATTTTACCGAAAGGGGCCCATATGCGAGCGTGATGAAGAACTCGAAGTGACAGTATCGTGAGAAACTATTAGGCAACGAAATGAGAAGCAAACAAGTAATCCGCCACGCAACGCCTAACAGACCTCAACACCAAGAACCCCAGGAACTACTGAGCAAACTCAGATATCTCCCCCAGAATGCAAGGCACCAAGTCCCACTATGGGTGCGAAAGAAATGCTCGGGGCGAAGTGACAGCAAGAGCAAGGAAAAGTACTTAGAACAAAGTGTGAAGAACCTATCCTCCTTGGCCGCATCGGCCTCCTTAGATAGTGTTCTTCCTACTCGTAGTCATGTGACCCAAAGTGGTCACATGTGTGAAACCAAATCATAACAATCTAGTCATGTGACTATCTTGGTTACATGCTCAAAACCCATGACGTCACAACAAGGTTATGTGCAAAACTTATAAACCAATCATAATACAATAAACAAGTCAAATAACTCGACTGAGTCATATGCGTGAAACCCATGACCTTATAATGAGGTCATATGCGAAACATAAATCATATGCGCAAGGCCTACCTATAAGGCACACTTGCAAGGCATGCTCACCAGGCGTACTCCCATGACTTATATTTGAGCCATGTACGAAAGCATCACAAATCCCATACATAATAAATCATATGACTCGAATGAGTCATATGTGTGAAACAATAACATACCTGTGACTCATAACCATGTGTCACATGAAAACCTTTTCCTCGCTAAGTCATATTCGTGACAGAGAGTTACTAGAATTCAAAAATGTAACATTTTTGGCAAAAATTGTAGGTAACAGGACATTTTCACATAAAGATAAGATATCAAATGTTAAAGGATTTTGACAAGAGACCAATACATTAGTATTTATTCTATAATAACTAGAAGAGTCTAGAACTTCAAGAAATACTACTACAGAAGACAAAAAATTTCATTAAGTATTACAACTGGGCTCAGGAATGCATTGTGGTTGCGGGAATAATTCCTAATGCTAGAACAACAACTAAAACTCGGTTACCCTAAGTAACTAATAGTTGCCGACTTCTATTCAGAAACGTATGCTCTCTCTATTTGGAATAGCATATTGGCTACAAATCTGACTGTCTCAGATACTCCAAGGGATATAAAAATGGTAGTTTTTCTTTTTCAAAATGGTTGTTTTGTATATGTGAATAAAACAATCAACTCATCTTCTATTCCTGCCAAATCAGACTTTATTAAAATGTAGAAACTCAAACTCTTTCCATTTACAATCTCTAAAAGGCACATAATCTGGATTCAGAGACAAAATATCACAAGAAAGAACAGTATTTACTTAATATAGTAGATGACTTACCAAGCCAGCAAGACACCTCCCTTACTGGGACAAATGCTGATTGGAGGAGTTTGTATGAAGAGATGAGTGTGATCAGTACAATAACACCAGTTCATCTAAGTAAACCACTTGAAAGTTTTTTTTTTGAGTGTAGCTGTCTAGTTGATGGCGGTGTTTGGGTGGCTTGGAAGACTGTCTCTAGCTAAACATGTTGTCAAGCCATTTTGAGCTTCATTACAGCTGGAAGAAAAAAAAAAGAAAAAAAAATTGAAATGAAATGGACAAAGTAGTTTCTTGGTATTTGGTTAGACATTTTAATATATAGTTATACCATGCTGTCTCAGATCTCAATAATATGGATACCTTACTGTTCTGCAAAAATTTCTGTCAACTCTGAATTTCTTTCTACTAAAGCCTAACCAGTTGTCCTGAATTCCTGACTATGCTGGACAAATTGTTCGGATTTTAGCTGTACAGAATAGCAGGGTGCTACTATTCTTAAGCCAATTAAGCAACCTTAGTTTTAAGGTTTCATTTTCATATTTTCTTACTAAAGCTGTATGGTAAAACATGTTCGCAAGGTGTTAATCATATTTCGTGGTAAGGTACTATAGTTGACAGATGGCCTGCTCTACCTAAAAGGAGACAAGAGCTGCGAATTAAAGAAGACTTCCAAAGTGTACTAGGAAAACTAAAGAGTAACTCTTCAACTAAGTATATTAAAAATACAGTCTGTTGAAGTCCGCCTTCTCCATTGTGGAATCAGGTAGTCTTTAAATACAGAAATCTGTTTATATATAGTATGAACGAAATTAATCAAAAATATTAAGCAATACACTTTAGTCAAACTACTTAAGTATTAAAACAATACTTAAAACAAACTATGTATTAACACGATACTTAAAACAAAACATCAAATAAAATCCTTAATCAAGTAGCTCTACCAGTTACATATGGAGAATAAAATAAAATTAAAAGAGATCCATTATGCCAATAACTTTATTAGTCATTAACTATACTAGAGTAGCAGTAAAAAGGCTACTCCATAGTATGCCAGGAGGATATTAAAAAGCTACCTAAAAACTGTAATGTCCAGACAGTTTTCAGGACGAAGCTCAGAATGAAAGTTATCAAATCTCTCAAAGTAGATTAAATGCTCCACCACTCGCTAAACCCTACATCCTAGCACACTGAGAATTTGAATCTGATCAGATTCGAACCCACAACCTAGAAGTAATAGGAAAGGGACCAACTTACCTACTACCAACTAAACCATGGGAGAACTTATATACTTCTCACATCAGTGACTTATATTCTATATTTCTCTATCTATACTGGCTGGCTTAAGAGGTCATCTACCTATGATTTTCTTTATCATGTAAAATTCTGACATAAAAGTTACTTCAATTATCTGTAACTTCAATTTTTGAATTATAATTACACATTTGCCTCCAATATTATGACCAATTAATCAACAAGAATAACTATTAACTTAATACAATAACTGTATACATCCTAATAATACCTTAAAAATATCAATATTTATTGTAGATCTTGTAGTTCAAATTCAGGTCAGATTTTAGACTCGATTAATTTTCTGTCCTCATACCGAAGTGACCATTCAGTTACCATAAATGGCCATTGAATGAAAATGAAAATGAAAATGAAAAAACTTTTCACTACAACTTGTTCTACCATACAGTTGCACCTTGCTGTTTTGGATGGCCAAAATCCGCAGAATATGTCTGGAACAGCTGATTATGTGGGACAACGGAGTACGTCCTGGTTTAAAAAAATTCGGAACTTATAGAATTTCATCTGGGACAATGGAGGATTCAGGAGAGAGAGGTCCATGACAATGTGAGTATCCCCTGAACTGCCAGCCGCTGCTATTTACATAACTTCACTAGATAGCGTTTTTTTTGACTTGTTGGTAGGTACGTTGGGGTTTTTAGTGTTAGTTCATCCAACACAATTAAAAACCTATTGTGACAGCTGATGTTAGACCATCTTACCTGAATGGTCACTGCTGGCAGTTTAAGGGATAAGTGAGACAAAGGATGGTAAAAATTTGGTGAGAGCAAACTGCCAATCTGGGCACCTTCTAGGTGATCTTGGCGTATTTTTGAATGTGGGAAAAAGTTAGGTGAAAACTGAGGTAGAACGTTGAAAGCCTCCATGAAGCAATGCCCTCAGCGAGGTGTGTTGAGACTTGGCTGCAAAAGCTCCTTGGTTTTAACTCCCAGTACAGTCTTCACCATAGTCACAACGAAACTGGGCGTTGAGGAACAGGGATGTTTTGGGAGGAGAAAAAGGAAAGAGCAAAGGTTAGGGTTACCAAATTACTGGCAATTAATCCTTGTTCGTCACCCGCCCAGTTTCGTCATGACTACGGTGATGACTGTATAATAAGGGTTTTTTTTTTCCTTTTCTTCTAAATAGTGGGTCTACACGTTGTCAAACCATCGAGCGCTCCTGAAGAACCGCTCTCTATCTTTGTCTATCATTAATTTACCCGTCATTCTATCTCTAGTTGATCGGCCCGCCTAAGAAACCGTACTCGGGCTTGGGATATCCACAACCTCCACACTAACTCCCTTCTCCTCCCCACCAGGCGCCTTTGTATGCTCAAGAATATATGCTAGTAACATATTCGCATACTGCTTCCCGGCAGGCAAGTAATGACCTCCAGGATGATACACTTTCCTCTCCTCCCCGCCCACGCAAGCCCTCGAAAGCTTCAAGCTCCTCTCCTCATCGACAACCGTATCCAACGACCCCAAAACATGCAATACGGGTGTCCGGATTTTCGGCTCGTAAAAGTAGTCGTAATTCCCCGTGGCCCTAAAACCAGAGTAGCACACGCCGAATCTGAGCGGCGAATGAGTCGTCGAGAAGCTCTCCGGCGTCTTCCTGCTTAACTCCCGCTCCAGCAGCGAGACGAGCATCACTGCCAGAGCCGCGCCCTGTGAAAATCCAACCACTCCGTCGAACGGACCGTTGGCGTCCAGGTAGCTCGAGAGGAAGTTCCAGGTCTCATCTATGCCGAGGTATTCCCCCGTCTCGCCGTTGCGGCGCCACCAGGCGTAGTTTTCGATCGGGGCGGTGGGAGCGTCGGGGGATGATGGGTCTCCTGGGAGGTCGGAGGGGGAGAGTGGGTGCGGAGCGGTCGGGTAGTAGAGGGCGGATTGGGGAGGGAGGGATTTGAGAAGGGCCTTTTCCAGAGCCTTGGTTTTGGCGGAGAAAAGGGGGCCAGATTGGGTGTAGCCGTGTAGGAATAGCTACCGTACGTATGTGTTGTTAGAGACGGTGAATTGGGTTGAAGGGGAGGGGAGGGGGGGGGGTATTGGCCGTGCTCACAAGTTTTACAGGCTTGGACATTTGAGGAGGATCTCCGTTCTGTCTGTGAAATTGAACTCGAAAGTTGCCTTGTGTTGTGTAAATGGATTAAGTCACCGTAAATTTAGCCAGGTTCCGAGGGATGGGAGAAATACCGGAAGCGCACTATCTGGCGAGAACCACGGGTGCTACGATAGTACTCGTACCCGTAAACCCAAGATATTGTCCGGGGACAAAATTAACTAGCTGTCAACGGCCGGAAAATCTTCGGTGATGACAACCACACTCCCCCACCAACCCACTATCATGAAAACCCAAAAGAAAATTAAAAAATATAAATACATAGTAGAAATTAATATTTAGTATACCATCCATCAGCCTTAATAATTGCTTCCACCCTATCCACCATTGATCCTGCTAAAGTATCAAAAACCTTTGGGTCCAGAAGTTCCCAACAATGAGTGATAGCCTCCTCTATAATTTTTTTGATCTCATTGACAGGGCCCTTCAGGAGAAACAGCTCAGGATAGTGCTTATGAAGCTTGTCTTTCACCAGAGACCAAACATTTTCAATTGGATTAAGGTCTGGTGAATAGGGAGGAATTTCCATCAGAGAAATTCCATTTCTCCAGAGCCATCTCCTGAAAGGCAAGTGAGTCTTAGCATTGTCAATGATCAAAAATACCTCTTCCTCTCCAACATGCTCCTTGATATCCTCCCATATCCCTGGAAAGTCATATTGATCATAAACATCAATAATTGACTTTCCAGTCACTCCACCTCCAGCAGAAGTAGGATTAGGAAAAACATGTAAAAAAAGACCATGAGTTTGACCATAGAAACAACCAGTCATCATCTGACTAATCTTTCTCTCTCCTTTCCTAGCAGTAGGTTCAACACAATCCTTATTCCACTGTTCTTTTAGCTATCTAAATACCCATTTTCTTCTCTTTAGGTTAGTGGTGGGGTCCAACGGTGGTGAATACTGTCTGGAGGAAGTGCAATGGATGAGATAGGGGGCGAAGCCCCCTCCTCCCTCACATTTCCCTAGAGAGTAACATATTTAAGAGCGATACAATTTATCAATTACATTAAAGAACATGCAATTCCCATCCATCCATTCTGCATTGGCCCAGTTCGCTAAGCGAGTGTCATGATTAAAGTAACCTATAACCGGGCGAGGGTGAACTACCTGAGTTTTCCGACAGTACTTGTCCGTACTGGTGAACTCAGCCTGTGAACCAAACCAACATTGAAATACATCCATACGCGTAAATTCCACATCATTGAAAACTAGTGTAACGATCCCCTTTCAGATAGTTAGTTCTTGGCGACGGGGAACGATACTTATCCTTTCCCTTTCTTTCTTTGTCTTACAATAGCTCTAGGCCTCTGCCTATGTTACCGATAGTACAAGACGTTTGTCTTCTATCGGAAACACCTATCGTAAGCTTTCTCTAACTCGTCTTCATAACGAGCGCTTCTTGGCGTAGTGATAACGTTGCAATAACGATAAAGATCGTAAAGGTGTTTTATATTTGTTAAAGTAATATGTAGGAAAAGTACTTAGAACAAAGCGTGAAGAACCTAACTTCCTCGGCTGCATCGGCCTCCTTATATAGTGTTCTTCCCGCCTTTAATCATGTGACCTAAAGTGGTCACATGTGCAAAACCAAATCAAAACAAACTAGTCATGTGACCGAAGTGATCACATGCTCAAAACTCATGACCTTAGAACGAGGTCATGTGCAAAACTCATAAACCAATCATAACGCAATAAACAAGTCATATGACTCGACTGAGTCATATGCACGAAACCCATGACATCATAATAAGGTCATGTGCGAAACATAAATCATATGCACAGGGCTTGCCCGTAAGGCACACTCGTAAGGCATACTCGTTCGGCGTATGTCCCATGACTCATACTAGAGCCATGTGCGAAAGTATCACAAATCCCACACATAACTAATCATACAACCCGAATAGGTTATATGCGTGAAACAATAACATACCTGTGACTCATAACCATGTATCACGTGAAAACCCTTTCCTCGCTAAGCCAGGTTCGTGACAACTACATACTTGTAAGTCTCGCAATATAAGGAAAGATTAAAGAAACCCGAAAAGAAAATATGAGACCCTAGACTCCGCACCCATTCGGTCTTACAGGTCCTTGTAGGACCGTATAAGATCAAGGCCAAAGGTCATAAACCAAGGATACCCCTACATGAATCATCGCGATACAATGAAAGGAAACGATTACACCAAACCACTAAATCTGAAGGCAAATCCCAACTCTCAACAGGATAAGGAGATCTATATACATTTTCTACAGTCGGATAATGTTTTTCCGCTACCAGGCGAACGTTATTATAGCTACCGAGATAAAGTCTCGGAGCCACGCTACGCACGTTGTCGAGAAACTGTTTTTTTCATCCATGTCAGCCTTCAGTCCCTGGGACATGTATATCCTCCCCCATGATTCTAATTCAAATGAACAACAACGAGGAATATACTAGGTCTTTCTGTATCGACCGCCTGTTCGGGGGGCTGGTAAGGGGTTTTACTCACTTGATCCTTAGTTTCTGCAGCGAAACATCCAAGCAACGCATCTCTATCCTTAGATTTTCCTTTACTGGGTCCCCTACAATCTTCCCTCTCGAAATCTTGTACGAGCACCCGTCCTTCCTTCCGGCAATAATCCCACGCTTTTTCAGGAGTTCGGTAAACTGTTTGGAGGTTTGGATGATAAACGCGGCCCCCGAATTCCACGTCGAGACATCACATATTTGTGTTTTCGAACCGTTTTCCATCCACTCGACGGACGAGAGCGTGGTAATGAATTCCTCCATCTGCGTGACGTTCCTGTCCAAGTACGAGGTGAAGACCCCCTTGTCTGCAAGGGTCGATAATCGGTTCAGGTGAGAGATCGTCACAACGGGGTTACGTGACCAGCAGGTATTTTGTACAGATTCTTCCGTGAGGAACGGGTCGGACAACTGTTCCGAGGTCAGGTGTTGCCACCAGCTGGGAACTCGATTCGGGGTGTGGGGTGGGCGACCAACTGATTGGAGCCGAGGTAGTGACGATGGTATCGGGGTCCCGTCCATCCTGTTTAGTAGTACTTTCACGGCTTCGCCTTCCACCTTCCGTTTCCTCCATTGGGTCGGCATCGGTATCGGCGATGGTTTGCGTTCGCGGAGAGGTAGTTCGCTCATCTCGCTGGGTGTATCGGGATCGGTCGAAGGGCATACAGAACATTTGCTATTATTTGCAACAGCAGGAGGAGGAGTCTAAGGAAGTATCGGGGAAGCATGGAGAGAGAGGTTTTGTGTTTTATCGATGGGAGTCATGGCGATAGTGGTACAATTGTTGGAATGAATCCTTCACAACGGCGGAAACGTGTCCCATTATATCCTAAGCGAGGTACGTACCACTCCCAACGGTTGTCACGTGCTCCCACTCTGACTATTTAATATTATAGTCAGAGTGGGAGTAGTGGGACTCTACGCCAATGTTTCCTCTTTTGGTTGTTTGGTTGTTGTGACAGGTGTAACGTGTTCGCAAGGTGCTAATCACGTTATCGATAATAGATATGATAGTTGGCAGGTGGCCTGCTCTTCCAGAGAGGAGGCGAGAGCTGAGAACTAAAGGAGGCTTCGAGGGCGTACTGAGGAACAAAGAAGTAACCGTTCAACCAAGTATATTGAAATACTGTCTGTCGAAGTCTGCCTTTTCTATCGTAGAAACAGGCGGTCTTTAAATACACAAATCTGTTCATGTCTAGCATGAACGAAACTAATCAAAGGTATCAATTGATACTCTTTGGTAAAACTCTTTAAGTATCAAAGCGATACTTAAAATAAAACAAAACCAAGTATCAAACGATACTTAAAACAAACCAAGTATCAAAACGATACTTAAAACAAAACATAAAACAAATCCAAGTATCAAACGATACTTAAAACAAACCAAGTATCAAAACGATACTTAAAACAAAACATAAAACAAAACCAAGTATCAAATGATACTTAAAACAAACCAAGTATCAAAACGATACTTAAAACAAAACATAAAACAAAACCAAGTATCAAAACGATACTTAAAACAAAACATAAAACAAAACCAAGTATCAAATGATACTTAAAACAAACCAAGTATCAAAATGATACTTAAAACAAAACATAAAACAAAACCAAGTATCAAATGATACTTAAAACAAACCAAGTATCAAAACGATACTTAAAACAAAACATAAAACAAAACCAATAACCAAGTACCCGTACCGGTTACATTCCCCAAACCAAAACAACTGTTTAAACAAACAAAAACTAATAGTCATCAAAAGCAGATTCCGAGAAACTCATGGCTTCAGTTTCTGCAAGAAATTCCTCATCATAAGTATCACACCAGGGGCAAGAGGAAACTCTAAGGAAACACTTAGACTCGAAGAAATCTAAATCACAGTAGTCACGAATACCAGATTCGTGATGTACGTCAACCCAAGCATGATCACAATCAGGACAGTAGTCAATCCAGAGGATTTCGAAGTAGTCTTCAAGTTGGATAGCATCGCGGTTCAACATCAGTCCAACAACCTGTTGTCGCTGCCTCACATTGAGCTCCACATAGTTTGACATCGTTATGGTATTCGGATGGTGATTGGTAACTAGATAAGGTTGTCGAGGGCCTGCTCCATAGCTTGATTCTCTTCATCGCTGCTTTCAAACTCCGACTCAAAGTGTGGTGCCCAAAATCCATCTCTAGCTTCGAGTTCTGCGCGCCATCGCTCAGTTTCTGGCATTGCAGGTGTCCAGCACATGGTGATATAATTGATTGTTGGGGGGAGCGATTCGTTTGGCATGTTGCCTTTCCACCATTCGTTCACCATATCCATAGCGTGTTCTAGTCCCTCTAGTGGTTCCCAACTGTTTTCGCTCGTCGGATATCCTTTCCACTTGACTAGGAACTGATCGTTTTCATGCCAAAGGCGGTGGTCTCGGATTTCTTCAACTTTCCATTCATCTTTCTTTTCAATG